GAGCCACCAAATCCGGCTTTTTTTTTTTTTTTTGTAACCAAACATGGAGTCACAGGACACAGTGCAAAAACCTGTGTATATAGAGGGTTGACTTTTCAGAGACATGGGTTCTTCAGGACTGACTGCAGGATATGAGTATGCATGGATTTTGGTATTTGAGAGGGTCCTGGAACCAAATCCCCATCTATACTAAGGGATAACTGTAGTGTCTTTTGCTGAATAATTGTAAATATATCACCTATTTCTATTTGAATTTTTAAGAATTGCAATAATAGTATACTTTTATTGCATCTACTTCATGGACACACACTAACTGTTTTTCAGTAACAAAACATATTATCTTAACCATTTTTAAGTGGACAGTTCTGTGTTATTAAATACACTCATAGTGTTGTGCTACCATAACCACCATCCATGGCTCTTTTTGTCTTGTAAAACTAATACTCTATACCCATTAAATAATCCCCATTCTATTCCCCCCAGCCTCTAGCAACCATTCCATTTTGTCTCTGTGGTTTTGACTAGGCTATTTCATGGAAGTAGAAACATCCAGTATTTCCTTTTGCTATTTACTTATTTCACTTAGCATAAAGAACCTCAGGGTTCATCCATGTTGCAACATATTACAGGATTTCCTTCATGTTTAAGGTTGAATAATATTCTGTTGTGTGTATACCACATTTTGCTTACCTAGTCATCTATTCATGGACCCTAGAGTTGCTTTCACATTGTAGCTATAATGAATAATGTTTCTTTGAACATAGGTGTAGAGATACCTCTTTGAGATTCTGGTGTCAGTTATTTGGGATGTACACTCAGAAGTGGAATGGCTAGGTCGTATGGTAATTCTGTTTCTCGTTTTTTTGAGGAACTACCATACTGTTTCCACAGTGACGGTACCATTTTACATTCCCACTAACAGCAATTTCTCCACGTCCTTATGAATTTATTATTACTTTTTTTATAGTAATTATGCTAATAGAGGTGAGGTGGTATTTCATTGTAGTTTTGATTTGCATTTCCCTAATGATTAATGATACCAAGCATCTTTTCATGTGCATATTGGTTATTTATATATCTTCTTTGGAGACCTAACTTTTTCACCTGAATGTGTATTTGCAGTTTAATCATTGGTGTGTGAGTATTTTTAGGTAAAGTAGAACTTCAGTCCACGGAATAAGTGATAGCATCATTAGTGGATTTTAATATGTATCTAACAGAAACCATATTCAACATTAATTCATATGATTAGACCATTGACCCACCTTTATTAGTAGAGAGACATTATTTATTAAGATTATATTTTGAAGCCAACTGTATAAATTCAACTCTGCTACTTGCTGTGCATCACTAAGCAAATAATTTAACCTCTGTACTTAAGTTTCTTAATTTGAGAATAGGAGTGATAATTTTAAGAAATAAATGAGATAGTAAATGTAAACAACTCAGAACAATGCCTGCCACATTTATCACCCAATAATTGTTATTATTAATGGTCTTAGGATTTCTGTTGTTAAATTTTTTCCAGCTGTAGCACTTTAACTTTGAGTTTTTTTGTAATTGGCTTTTATCTCTTAAGTATTTCTTAATTTTGTATTTTCTAGGGCATTGTTTATTTACTTTTTGGGGGGGTAGTTGCCCTAGTTTACAATAAACCTTTTTTTTTTTTTTTTTTTTGAGTTGGAGTCTTACGCTGTCATCCAGGCTGGAGTGCATTGGCATGATCATGGCTACAGCAGCCTTGACCTGCTGGGCTCAGGCAATCCTTCTGCTTCAGCCTTCCAGGTAGCTGGGATTACAGGTGCGCACCACCATGCCTGGCTAATTTTTTGATTTATTGTAGAGATGAGGTCTCACCAAATTGCCCAGGCTGGTCTCAAACCCTTGGGCTCAGGCAATCCTTTCGCCTCCACCTCCTAAAGCCCTAGGATTATAGACATGAGCCACCACACCCAGCTACAATAAACTTTTTTTTTAAAGTGAAAAAGCAGGATTTATTGAGAGCACAGAGAAACTCCCACAGTGGGAGGGGACCTGAAAGGGTTGCCTGTTTGGGGGCCAAAAACTTGATGCTTGTATAGCCCTAAGTCCTAGCCAATTGACTGGCAGTAGCTGTGAGCTGTTGCTGTTCTGACTGATCTGTATTAAGGACCAATCAGCAAGAGGTAGGGACCTAATGGTGAGCTCATTGGTTGCTTTTCGATCCCAGCAATGAGTACCTGAGCTCTAGCTTGAGAGGCTGGCGGAGAGCTTGTTTACCAATGTGGAGCCAGAACGGCCTTCTGGGAGTTCGCTGCATTGTTAACAGAGGACCCTCCTGTCTGTCTGTCAAGCCTTTCTCTGGCTATCTCCTGGCTCATTACCCCCTCTGGAGCAGTACCCCTGACTGCCGTTAGGGAGTAAGGATGATGACCGGTCTGGCTACTTCCTGCTGATCATGGGCGTCATATGGGGACAGCAGCAAGGGGTACGGCAGCAAGGGATCCTCCAGAGGCGATCTAAAGGTCCTTGGTAGAAAGAAGCTTCCATACGGTGTTCCATCCACATCACCATTTAGAGTTTGATGGCCTCTAGGCGAGAAGAAACAAACTTTACAAGAAGGTTAACTATATATGGACCAAACACAAGCAGTACAACTAAAGGAGCTATTAAGGGAAAAACCTATGTCCATATACTGGAAATCCCTAGAGAGGATAAAAAAAGATTGTAACCAACTGGGTCCTGAAACTGCCTATTCTTGTAAAGAGTCAATGATTTTATTATTGTTTTATAACCTGTAGTTTCTTTTACTTGGGAGGAAGTGTTAATATGGAAACAAGTTTCATTTAATAATGTGCATGTTCCCCAAAATTCAACTGTGAGCATATCTAAGAATTTGAATAATTACCCTATTGAGCCACATGCGTAATGGAGAGTGCTTATAAGAAGCTAGGACTAATGATATTAAAAACAGGAAGCAAGATAGCGTAGGCATTTTGCTTTTTCTTGTAAGGGAGACTTCTAGGGAAGAAAACAATACCATGGATGCTGAGGATTAAGGGGTCCTGGACAGAGACATCTAATGGTACAAATCAAGATTAAAACAAAGGCAGCAAGTATAGGTAGAACCATCAGGAGAAAATTTATAGGCAGTAAGTGGTGGCACTTATGTTTTACAATCTTTAGTTGGATTCTGTATGCTTTTCCAGGTCAGCGAGGGCAACTTCTCCTGGACTTCATGCTTTCACTCTAGTGAGATGGATCCACAACTCTGTTCTAGTAACTTTTACCTTCCATCAAGCCCCATGTTGGGACACTGAAACTGGTACAGATTTTTCAGGTCAGCCTGGGCTTCGAGACTGTCAGCTCAATGGGTCGGCCAGCCAAGTCCCACAGAGTTGTCGAGGGGCTGGTAAGCCTAGCCCCAGAAGTGTCAGCTCTAATGGGGCAAGCCAAGCCCTGAGAGTGTTGCGATTTGATGGGCTGGCAAGCCTAGCCTCCGGAGTGTCTCAGTTTTGGAGTCTCACCTTCTTCCGGCAGCTCTCCTGGTTCAGACGGCTCTGTCGGCTGGCAAGCCAGCCTCTGGGGTGCACAGCTTTTTAACGCCGATGACCTACAGCTCTTCAGGTCGCAGCTCTTCAGGGTCAAGGTTCTTGTCTCATGCCCAGGAAGAATGAGGAACACGAATGTCCAGAAAGTAAGAAAGCAGAATTTATTGAGAGGACAGAGAAGCTCCCACAGTGGGAGGGGACCCGAAGGGGTTGGCCCTACAATAAACATTTTTAACGAATCTAAGTCCACTTCAAAAACACTATAGTGCTTCCTGTAGAGTTGCAGGTACCTTTTAACAGAATTGTCCCAATTCTTCCCTCCTGTTCCTTCTGACGTTGCTGCCATTCACTTCATCTATTCATATGTAGTAACCACACTGCACACTGGTATTATTATTTATTTTTTAGATCAAGTAAGAATAAGGAAATAAAAGATTTTGTTTTACCTTCATTTATTCCCTTTCTCTGATGTTCTTTCCTTATTATATAGATCCAAGTTTCTGGTCTGTATCATTTTCCTTTTCCCTGAGGAAATTCTTGTAATTTTTCTTTCAGGACAGGTCTGCTGGAGGTATATTTCCTCAGTTTTTGCTTGCCTGAGAAAGTATTTATTTCTCCTTCACTTTTGAAGGATAATATTGCTAGGATACAGAATTCTAGGATAGTGGGTTTTTCTTTCAAGACTTTAACTGTCTCACGCTATTATCTTCTTGTTTGCATTATTTCTGATTAAAAGGCTCCATATCTTCCATCTTTATTTCTTGTTCAAGATTTTCTCTTTGTCTTGGTTTTCTGCACTTGAGTCAGATAAGCCTCTCCCAAGACTGCATTTCTCAGTATCAAGCTGCTCCATACGCAGCCTCCAAAAATTTGTCAAGATTGCCATTTAAGTATTTTTACCAGTTTATGACTCCAGTGACTTCCGCTCCATGTAAGCAAATCCGGTGATTCTCTGAATTTGGGGATGATAGTTTGCTCTGTGATCTCAGTTCTCTTATGGGGCCATAAAATCATTGATTTCATTGACTTTCAGTTCAGCTTTTTATTGTTTTAAGGATGGGAGTGTCTACTTCTGCTTGGTAGAAAATGGAAGCTGAAACCAGAAATTCCTCTAAGGGATTAACTGTATATGCCCTTTCCTTTTTAAACCATTTGATCCATTTTAACCTATGTCATTTAAACATTTTGCTATCTCCTGTATTTTGGTGATTTTTATCTTTATTTTAATGTTATACGGTTTCATGTTCTTATTTTTGATGCCTGGCCTGGGTCTCAGACTTAATTCTGATGCACATCTGCCAACCTCGAGACAGTTCTCCTCTTCTTGTATTAACAGGTTTCTTTCTGTATGTAAAGAATATCTATCAGTATATGATTATGAAGGCCCTACCCATCTTCAAAATACCATGGTCCTTTATGTGATGCCATATGTAAATGCCTGTTTATCAGGTACTTACTGAATATGTTCTGTGTTTGAGTCATTGGACTGGGCCCTGCAGGGGGAGAAACAGTAATATAGCCCTGCCTTAAAAAGGAGCTGAACATGGGAGAAGAATTAAAATATACAAACCAAATAAGTATGAAGCAGAGTCCAACAATTTAATGTAGGAAGTAAAATTTAAAAACATGTTGCCAAATGAATAAATTGCAATGAGAAATATTCCAGAGACAGAATTTGTGTTCCAGCATATTCTTTCTCTTTAGGAAAAAAGCAGTCAAGAAATTGCTCAAGAAACATGAATCCACAAAAGGGAGCATTAGTTAGGTTAATGGTAAGGTATCCTGATGCATTTGTCCATCTGTCCTCATGGTGGGAATGGTCTTACCAGTGTACTAGAAGTCCTTCACGTCTAAGGCTTCAAGTCCATTTTCCATAAAAAACTGCTGCTTTCTGCTGACATTTGCTCCAACATTTTTTTCTTCTTCTAATTATAAAGATAGTACATGGTTCTTGTATAAAATTGGGACAGTGGGAAGATAAACCATCCATAACATCATCTCATTCTGGTGTGACTTTTAGGATCTATGTACATATACTTCACACTTAAAAAGTTTTAATTGAAATAAAAAGGAAACAACACATCAGGTTGGTAGTGAGATGTTATGAAAATCAGTACAAGATTGGACTTTCAAGGTCATGAAGGATGAGTGGGATTTATAATCTGAGATGTCAAGAACACGCCAAGACAGGAGTCATGGGTTTTCTTCCAGGCGTAGTGATCAACATGTATGGAGGCAGAAAAGGATGGGCTCTATTTGGAAAACAATGAGTAATACTGTCTGACTGTTTGTAGGGTTGGGTGTATATAAAACAGTGGGGGACCAGGTAGGCTGAGTTTATTTTGTTTCACATTGACTTTCAGGCAGAGCAGTGTATACTGAATTCATTTTTAATTTTTTTTCAAAAATAATTAGCAGTGAAATATGAAACAAAGGCTATTTCTAATAAGGTTTGAAATAGAAAGTAAGGATCAATGAAATTCCAAGGAAGCACATATCTTTGCCAAAGGAGTGGCTGGGCTTGATGACTCATGCCTGTAATTCCAATGCTCTGGAAGGCTGAGGCAGGAGGATCACTAGAGCCCAGGAGTTTAATGCTACAGTGAGCTGTAACTGTGCCACTAGACTTTGGCCTGGGCAACAGAGTGGACCATGTCTCAAAAAAAAAAAAAAAAAAAAATTTTCTGGGGTTTTCATAAAATTTATCACCCCACAATATATTCAACTCCTTGGTTTTTTCATTTACGAATTTGTCTCGAAAGTCTTTTTAACTCCCTATAGTGTTCCCTAGCACACGTATTTTATTTAATTTATATAATTTATTCCTATTGATGGACCGGTTTTTTCTGTTCTAAATGCTACTGCAGTGGAGATCCTTATAAAACATGTCTTCTGGTGCATATTTCTCTCAGATGCCAAACGTATCAAGTGTGTGTGACACTTTTATACTAGAGTGGATCCTATCAAACAAATTGCTTTCCATTGTATACCAGAAGTATCTAAGAGTATGTATTTCCACTTGATGAAATTATTGAATTTCTGTGATGGACTTTATAAATTTTTTAAATAGGCTTGTTAATATTCTTACTGATTTGTAAAAGTTCTTTATGTATTTTAGGTATTTATGTTTTCTTTGTTAGGCTTCAGTTTTTTCCTGTCAGTTCTTTGTTAATCCATTTAATGTGCCTTTTGAAACTTAAAAGTTTTAAATGTTAAAAAATTTAATTTTTTTCCACTATTGATTTTATAATTTGTATGTTGCTTAAGAAGGCCTTACCTAGTCAAAGTTATAAAAATATTCTTGAATATATACCAAAGTCTTGAATACGAACAAGAAAGATCTTTTTATTTGCTGAAATGGGTGTAATACTACATCTTATTACTTGCTAGGGTTGTTAATATACTGTAGACATGGTTGTATTTTTAGGTATTTTAGGGTGAGTGTTCAGGGATGGGTTCTGTTGTACAGTTGAAGTCCTGTTAGAAAAGCTAATGGGATGATTTTTTTAAATGTTTGGCATTCTATGATTTCTGCCTGTGACTTTGTGATTGTTTCGTGTTTACTTGTATATATACATGATAGCACATTTAGCATAGCCATTTTTAAAGTTTTTAAAAATCAGACTTATTTTCCTACCTTCCTTGAACTTCAGGATCAATTCCAAACTGACCATAGTTCCTTGAGAGGTCATTCTTTTCAGCCTACTTGTTAATGTAGGATGTCAGTTAGAGTTACAAAGTGGCAAATGTCGTGCTGCTCTAAATGTGCACTCTATACATAGCATCATATTTCTGCCCAGTTCACAATAAACTGACAGTCTTTCTTGTATGTTATTTGAAGAAACCTTTTATATCATCTTACGATTTTATAAATTTCAGCTCCTTTTTGGAGAATAAATAGGTGTGGATGTTTTTAGATTTTGTTAGCTTTAGATCTGACTTGCTTCTCTTTTAACTTCTCAGGTATTAATGTGAGTGATGACGATTTTCTTTTGCTGGAGCTTTTACGCTGGTTTAAGGAGGAGTTTTTTCACTGGGTGAATAATGTTTTGTGTAGCAAATGTGGCGGACAGACAAGGTCTAGAGGTAAATCATTATTGCCCAATGATGATGAGCTGAAGTGGGGCACAAACAATGTGGAAGATCATTACTGTGATGCATGCCAGCTCAGCAACCGATTCCCAAGGTGGGTACCTAAACAGTGAAGTCAGAGTGATCGCTTCACTGAATGGTTAGAGGTGATTTCTTATTAAATGAACTCTCCTTTCATTTAATTATTAGAAATAGATTCCTCTAGAAGGCAGATGAGCAAACTATAGCCAGCAGGCTAAGTTCAGCCCGCATCTAATAAACATGAGGTTTTATTAGAACATAGTCATGGTGATTTATTTACTTGGTCCAACTGTTTTCATATTACAACAGCAGTTGAATGTTGGTGATCGAGACCACATGACCTACAAAGCTAAGTTATTTACCATCTGTCCTCATATAAGGAATTTGTTGGCTCTTGTTCTAGAACATAATTTGATTATGGTCATAGCATTGTTGTTAATGCTATAAATATTCTGTTTTTCAAATACATTTTAATTTTTGATAACTTTAATAATAGTACTGATGGCACAGTAACAATACTAGTAATGATAACACTGATCGTTGTGATAGTAAATATAATGATGTATTTAAAATAATTCTTAGAAAGTATAATATAGTATGATCATATCATTTTCTTCTTAAAGGCAGAAGAAGTTTGTTTTAATTAGGAAAAATTTAAAAATTTGCCCAGTCTAAGTAACCCCTCACTCTACATTTTAAACTAAGGACATTTTAATTTTTCAGTTAACTTTTGCCATTCTTGAATGTTTAATCATTTTTCACCAAAGATCCTAGCACAGTGCCTCATGTATTCTTTAATCAGTATTTTAAAATAAGAAAGAAACATTTCTATTTAGAGGTAATATAAATTCTTTAAATATCTTAATTTTGATAATAAATCAAAGCTACTTTTTTTGGTAAACCAGATATAATAACCCCGAGAAACTTCTGGAGACGAGATGTGGACGGTGCGGCGAGTGGGCCAACTGTTTCACACTGTGCTGCCGAGCTCTTGGGTTTGAAGCTCGCTATGTTTGGGACCACACAGGTGAGTGTCATGCGAGCAGAGGGTAGGAGGGCTTTGCACACCTGGAGGTTTGTTTTCATTTTGAACCCATCATTTTCTGTTACTTCCTGACTTTTCAGACTGAGCTGCCATTTGCCTCCTGTAAAATAATAATAACACCAGCCTCCCAGGATTTTTGAAGGGATCACAAGGTTTTGTAAAACACCTAGCACTCTGCCTGGTATTCTGCACTATATTCTTTTCTTTTTTTCCTTTCTTATCTATTATTTTACTTTTATTGATATATAACAGATGTACATATGATAATTTAATGCATTCATATAACGTGTACAGAACAAGTCAGTGTAACTGGGATATCTATCCATTTAAATGCTTTTCTTTATGCTAGAAACATCTGAATTAGAATTATTCTCTTGCTATTTTAAAATATACATTAGATTATTATAAATTGTAGTCTCCCTATTGATAGATCAAGCACTAGGTCTTAATTCTTCCATTAACAATTTACCAAAGCATACAGTAATGCTTTTTTTTTTTTTTTCCTGAGTCTGAGACTTACTGTGTCGCCCAGGCTGGAGTGCAGTGGCACGCTCATAACTACCACAGCCTCAATCTGCTGCTGGGCTCAGGCAATCCTTCCGCCTCAGCCTTTTGAGTAGCTGGAGCTATAGGTACACCACACCACATCCAGCTAATTTTTTGATTTATTATAGAGACAAGATCTTGGCAAGTTGCACGGGCTGGTCTTGAACTCCTGGGCTCAGGCAGTCCTCTCTTCTCAGCCTCCCAAAGTGCTGGAATTACAGGCATGAGCCACTACACTCAGCTATAGTGATGCTGTTTCTATATGAATAGGAACTTGTGAAATAATGTGCTATAGAAATCTTCATCTTTGTAGGGATAACCATAAAAGATTTAATAAACTTATATCTCAGTATACAAAAATACTGTAATAAAAGCCATGTAATATTTGTGTTGTCCTTACTTAGAAATGACTCGTATTGTCTACATGTTCAAAAGTTGTTTTCCCTGTTCTTAGAGTTTACTTGTATTTCCATTGTTCGTTTGGTTTTTTGTTGTTGTCTTTAGAGTTAAATAAAACCTTCAGTTAATAGTTTTTCTCTTGAAATCCGATATAGCGCATCGGTAACCAGAGATCTTATTAGATCTCCTGCTGGTTCTGGGTCTTAAGTCCAGAGAGATAGTCTATGATTTCAGAAGTGGTATTAACTCCTTCACAATGGCAAACCGAGCCGGATATTTTTGATGCTGTTGTTCAGTGTCTACCTTCTTAAGAGTTACAGCACACATTAAGCCTAAAACTGACTGCATTAGAGGAGATTATCCCCAAAACATCTTCAGGGACTATAGAGACACAGATAAATTAATACAAGTATTTTGAAGTCTCGTATGCCAAAAATGCTCACCATTATTAAAAAAAATTCGAATATTATAAATTTATTATGTGATTCTTAGGAGTTTGTGTATAGTTATTGGAAGTCATTCTGGTTTTACAAACTTAATTTTCATTTCCTTTTTTCCATTGCCCCCCATATCTCTCACTTGAGTAGACCATGTCTGGACAGAAGTCTATTCTCCTTCCCAGCAGCGGTGGCTGCACTGTGATGCGTGTGAAGATGTCTGTGACAAACCCCTGCTTTATGAGATAGGATGGGGCAAGAAGCTTTCCTATGTCATAGCGTTTTCTAAAGATGAGGTAGGGCATAAAAGACAAAACTTTTTCCAAGAATAAATTTTTTTTTCCTTATTTGACATTTTTATGGAGGTATAATCGACATACAGTAAGCTCCATGTTTTTTAAGTGTACAACTTAAATAAGTTTTATCTTTTACATATACCTGTGAGATCATCACTACAATCAGTATCCATTGTATGATGTGTGCATAGTGTATCAAAACTGTTGATAGGCATCTGGGTAGTTTCCAGTTTCTTACTATTTCAAGTTAAACTGCCGTGAACATTCAGGCACACCCATTTTTACAGGGGCATATGCTTGTTTTTCCCTTTGCTTATTGCCTAGGAGTGAAATGGCTGGATTGTTTGGTGGGTGGACATCATGTTTTAAGAAACTGCTAAACTGTTTTGCAAGTGATTTTGCCATTTTACATTTCACCAGCAGTTTGTTAGAGTTCCCAGTTTTTCCATGTCCTTCCTAACATTGAGGATGATCTGCCATTTTAATTTTAGCCCTTTTAGTAGGTGTGTGGTGACATTTCATTGTGATTTTCATTTGTACTTCCCTGATGACAGATTTTTTTTTTTTTTTAAGTCACAGTCTCCCTGTTGCCAGACTAGAGTGCTGTGGCACGATCACAGCTCACTGCAGCCTCAAACTCGTGGGCTGTAGCAATGCTCCCACCTCAATCTCCTGAGTAACTGGGACTACAGGTGCATGTCACCATGTCTAGCTAAATTTTTTTGTACAGATGAGGTCTCACTGTGTTGCCCAGGCTGGTCTTGAACTCCTGGGCTCAAGCAGTCCTCCTGCCTCAGGTTCCCAAAGTGCTGAGATTACAGACGTGAACCATCATGCCAAGCTCTTACTGTTGAATTTTGAGAGTCCTTTATACATTTTTATATAAGTTTGTTGTCAGTATGTACAAAGATTTTTCTCCCATCTGTAGTTTGTCTATTTATATTGCTAATGACTTTTGAAGAGAAGAAATAGATGTTCATTTTACCAATTTGTTCTTTATATAGATTGCGCTTTTTGATGTTGCATTCAAAAAGAAATTTTTGTCTAGCCCGGGGTCATAATGATTTTCTACATTTTCTTTCATAAATTTAATATTTTTAGTTTTATATGTAGGTCTGTGATTCATTCTGAGCTAATTTTTATACATGGTCCAAGGTGTGGATTGAAGTTTTCTTTTTGTTTTTGTTTTTACATATAGGTAATAGGTTGTCCTAGTACCATTTATTGAAAAGATTACCTTTTCTCCATTGAATCGTCTTTGTGCCTTTGTCAAAAATCAGTTCTATAATATACTTTCTATAATATATATAATAAAAAGGGATAAGGTTTTTATATGTTGAATTTTGTGGAACCAACTTTGGAGATAAATCTTAAAAAGCTTAAGATTCTGAAAATGTCATCTCTTTATCATAGTGTTTCTTGGTGGTATACCTATTAGAAAATGAATAAAAGGCATCTCCTCCATTTCTTTCTCAGACTTTTAAGAAAGGGTAGTATTTTAAAACTGCACTTAAAAGTACATACATTCTAGGTATTTAGCAAATAAAGGTTGATGGTTGTAATCTCATTAAATATTTATATTCTGTAATTTGTTTCAGGTAGTTGATGTCACTTGGCGATATTCTTGTAAACATGAAGAGGTGATCTCTAGAAGAACTGAGATTAAGGAAGAATTACTTCGAGAAACTATTAATGGGCTTAATAAGCAGGTATGTGATGGATGTGATGACTATTAATCATTTTCAAGAGGATATTCGAAATTTTTTATGCAATCAAGAATCTCAGTTTTTAAGTCATTGAAATTCTGAAAGCAGTAGCATCATTACACAGGTATTTTAATATGTTAATGGCTTTTTGTTCATTGAAAATTTTGAGGACACTTTATAATGAGTTTTTTTGGATTAAAATGTCTCATCTCAAAGTTCAGTAAAAGAAAATTTCAATACTTGTAGTACCTGACATTAAAAAGCATGTTGTTTTATTTATTGAAGTAACTGTACCTTGAATATAGTGACACACATGCATATTTATGTAGTGTGAGTGTGTGTGTGTGTGTGTGTGTGTGTGTGTGTGTGTGTGTGTGTGTACACACATGTCCATGTATGGAAATATCTGAAACAAGGCCCAGGAAATTATTAACAATGACTACTTCTGAGGAGATGAACTGAAGTCCAAGGTGAAAGGATCGGTTTCTGTGTCCCTTTGATAGTATTGCAATCGTGAATTCTATACATGTGGAGTTTTTTCGTAATTTAGAGAATAAACAACTGATTTTGCCCTGGCAGAGTTAGAATAGGGCATATCACTGTGATCCAATCAGCGATTGAGATTCAGGATGAGGCTTTGGTCTGTTTGGAATTTGTTCTTCCAAATGTGTAGCCCTTCAGAGATCGCAAACCTGGAGTATTTGTTAGAGCCCCTTCCTCAGAAGACTATTTGTTTTTCCCCAGCACTGTGAGTTGTTGAAACTTGTGCTTTGTGTTTCAGCACTTTAGTCACCCTTTTGCACTTGGCTTCTCGACCTCTTCTCCTCCTGCCACTTAATAATTGACATGCCTAGAAGGGAAAGGAGGTGCTGTATGTTCCCTTCACCTCAGTTCATTTCCCCCTGGCATCTCGGCTTCTCAAGCTCTGACTGTTCTGGTAGCCTTCTGTTGCATTCAAATAGGTGTTCTTGAGTGTGTGTTTTTTGCGTGTGCCTACCCAGCTTTTCTCAACAAGGCAATTGGTCTGATACAAGCCAGTCTAGATCATCATGTCTAGAAACAAGTTGCTTCCTTCATTTCAAATAAATTCAGGTAGTAGAGGTCATGGAGAGCTGGAAGTAGGTGTTAAATGATTTCTCAACATAACATTCGTATTTTTTTTTTTGAGTCGGAGTCTCACTGTGTCGCCCAGGCAAGAGGGCAGTGACACAGTCACTCCTCACCACAGCCTCAGCCTCCTGGGCTCAGGTGATCCCTCTGTCTCAGCCTTCCCAGTAGCTGGGACTACAGGCATCACTATGTGCATCACCATGTCCAGTTGATTTTTTTTTTTTGGTAGCATCTAGTTCTGGCCATGTTGCCTAAGTTGGTCTCAGACTCCTGTGACGAAGCGATCCTCCCTCAGCTTCCCAAATTTCTGGGATTTTAAGTGTGAGCCACCACACCTGTCCAAGCTTTTAAAATTATTTTTAAGTTTTTCACAGTATTATTTTTATTTTTTGAGTAATATACATAAGAAAATAAAATTGGTTGCTTCTTTCATGACCCTTTAAATTGCAAATGTTTTAAGTATATTCTTACTTAGAGATAGACTTCTACATTCTCCTAACCTGAACAACTTTGTTTTTAAACATGAACTACAGAGGCAACTATCTTTATCAGAAAATAGAAGAAAAGAACTTCTCCAGAGGATAATTGTGGAGCTTGTTGAATTTATATCTCCCAAAACGCCTAAACCTGGAGAACTTGGTGGAAGAATATCTGGGTCAGTGGCTTGGAGAGTAGCCCGAGGTGAAATGGGTCTAGAGGTATTTAATTCATTCTAGCATGATTCTCTTTTTACTTTCGTGCTTCCTGTGATGTGCTCTTTGCTTACAGAAGACTACATTACTGTGACCTTTTGGTTAACTGTATAATTATTTAAACATGCAAACATTTGACAAGAACCAATAATTGATTGACATACTATAGTCACATAGGAGTTAGCAAAGCATTTTAAAATGAGATTTTTAAACTTTTTTACCTTATGTAAATTTTCAGTGCAGTATAACTTTTACTGAAGAATATACAGGAAAATACACAAATCACAAATGTACAGCTCAATGAATTTTTACAAATTTAGCACCCTTGTAACTACCACCCAAAATAAGAAACAGCTCACCAGCACCCCAGAGATAAGCATGGCATGAGTTGCCTTCCAGTCACTGCCTTCTATTCCCAGAAGTAACCATTACCCTGGGTCCTAATGCCCCATATTAGTTTTGCCTGTTATTGCACTCTCTATAAATGGGATCATACTGTTTTGTGTATATCTTTTGCACATTACGCTAGTGAGATTCATACACATTTATTCTCATTGCTATTTGATATTACATTATATGATTGTGCCATAATTTATTACTGCTAATGGCTCTTTGGTTTCTGGCTGTTCCAAAATGTGCTGCTGTGAGCATTCCTATTCATGTGTTCGCTGAGTTTATTAAGGCATTCTGTTAGGTATAAGCCTAGGAGAAGGAGTTCTAGGTAGTAGAGTATGGATATGTTCAGCTTGAGTAGACACTGCCACACAATTTTCCTAAGTGGTTATGCCAATTTATAGTCTCACCAGCGTATACATGAAATCTGCACACATCTTTGTGTACACTTGGTATTGTCTGTCTTCTTAGCAGTTCAGGAGGTATATAGTAGTATTGCAGCTTTAATTTGCATTTTGGTGATGACTAATCAAGTTGAACACCTGCTCTTTAAACTTTTGGATATCCTCTCTTGTAAAGTGCCTATTCGGGTCTTTTAAAATGAGATTTTAATGTGTGTAGAAAAACCTTGTTTTACCCTCCCACGCGCCTCCCCCCCATTAAAACTTTATAAAGTACAGTAGGGAAAACACAGAATTTAGCTGATGAAAGTGTATATATTTCTTGGTATTTGCTGTACATCTGGTATTTGCTAGAAATTATTGGTGATGTGATTATTATTTTATTAAAACTATTATCACTTGATTAATCTCCCAAAATTAAATAATATAATTTAAACCATAGAAATATAACTTCTGTAGTTAAGTCCTATAGTTAGAGATTAGGTAGAAATGAATGTGCTAGGTTTTGTAATGGACATTTAAACAGTACAGTAGACTGTCCTTTGCCCTTAGGGAGCTTAAAGTTGAGTTACTGGAAAGTATTTAATATAGATGTCTAGGAAGATATACAGTGACAAATGCTTGGAAGGAAAATAGCCCATCACAATAGCCATAAATATATCCAAACAAGTTAACGTTTTATGTTTACTTTTCATAAATTTGCCCTTATTGCTACTCATTTCTTTAGTAAAAGAATATGCCCAAAAGGAGTGAACTATCCCCAATAAATCTTACGTTTGTTTTTTAATTTATCCCATCTCCTGTAGCAGGCAGTTAGAAGTGTGGTTCAGCCATAGAATTACAAGATCTAAATTCAACAAATAATCCAGATCACTGCTGACAGTGCTGATGCAGTGCAAGTTACAAGTTTAAATCTCAGTGAAGCCAGTTAAAGAGCTCATTTAATTCACAGCTGTGTTCAATTTAAAATGTGGATATTATTTATTTCATTTCTTTTTTTGATGGATGGGTGTGCCACCTCTTATATGGCATGTAAGTTGATTAACTTTAAAAATATAAATTGGGTCATATACCCAGATTGTTTTCCTTTTGAATTTTTTTTTTTTAATTTCTCAATTGCTAGGGACCATTTTAGGGTCTTGTATTTAAAAAGAAATCATTTTCCCCTTTGGAAATAGATGTTTGTTTTAAAAGTAAATAGAAAAAAACTAATCCTAAAAACTTTTAGAACTAAATCTTGTAATCAATTGGAAAAAGAAGGAAATGTTGGTGATATCATTTCCAGAAAGAAAAGTTTTATCTTAGTCTTAGATTTTAAATGTTCCATGAAATATCGGACTAGTGTGCAAGAATTGCCTGGAATCTGAAGGTAAAACTTGAGTTTTTAAAATAATATACAAGCAAAAGACTGTTTCAAGCTATGCCTCTCAGTTGCTCTCCTAGCTTAGGGTGTCAGGAAAGGACACTGATGAAATGACTTTAGCTTGAGGCTTGAAAATGAGAAAGAATCAGGTATGTGGAGAGCAGAAAGAACAGTGTTCAAGACAGAGGGAGCAGCCTGCATCAAGGCCAGGAGGGAGAAGCCAGCAGGAGCTTTTCGAAGAACCTAAGGGAAAGTAGCATGGTAGGAGCATGGAAATGAAAGGAAGGGTTATGTGAGGCCTAGTTGGAGAAATAGATGGGGAGAGTGCATATGGACCTTGTTAGCCTTAGGAGAGAGTTGGGAGTTTATGTGCAGTAAGAAGTCAGTGAAGTGAGTTGAAAAGAAAGTGACATTTTCCAGTTTACATTTTTTTTTAAAATCACTTTCCTTGCTATGTGGAGCATGGATAAGAGAGGTAAAAGTTAAAAGCTGAGAGTCAACTTTAGGAGACAATGGTGGTTACAAAGTAAGCAACCATGGAGGTGGTAGAAAAAGAGGAAGGTAAATTAATTCATCAAACACAAAAATGTAAGTCAGAGCTCATACTTCTTATCTTTTTTCTAATGTTTGGTGCTTTATCAACATTGCACTGATTATGTTTAATATAAAAATATTTTCCAAATTATTCAGTGGCACAAGTTTTTCATTTTCAAGCTGAGGGAATCTCTTACCACTAGTACATAATGATTCCTCTATTTTGTTTTTTACATCATTCATAATGTTGAAAAACTAATTCTGTTTTCTTTTTAAGAGAAAAGAAACCCTGTTTATCCCCTCTGAAATTGAGAAGATTTCTAAACAACTTCACCTTTGTTATAATATTGTGAAAGATCGTTATGTTCGAGTTTCAAATAACAATGAAACCATTTCTGGATGGGAGAATGGTGTGTGGAAAATGGAATCCATATTCAGAAAAGTTGAAACAGACTGGAACATGGTAACTCAATGCATGAAACTGCTTAAAGACTTTGTCATTGTTTAAACAAATATAGATTGGTTTCATTTTTCAGTTATGCAAAGCGTGAAAACTGACATGTCCAAATTATTTTTAATAATTCTTTAACCTAGAGAAGAAAATCTTATTCCCAATGTGTAATCAAAAGTCTACTAGAAATTCTTGCCTTTATATCGAGGAACTGTTTTCATCTTTAATATTTTCATATTTAATTATTTCATGGGGAAAAGTAATCAAGTGTATGACCAATCCATGGGACTGTTGTTTGCTTGAATATATAAAGTATATTGCTATTTAATTTCTTCACAGATATTGATTGCCTATTAAATCCAGGCCATTAGGGAGTATAATAGACTTAGTCTGAAATCCCAAGAGGCCAGCCACCTAACAAGCTTTCACTTCATAAGAATGTGAATGATCGAGCAGTGGTATTGGTTATTTCTTCTTTGTGTCCTCAAACAGTAAGTAAGTGGAGTCTAGGACCACATTAGTTCATGCATACCAAGCTGCACATTGTTGTCACATTATCAGTAACAAGTAAAGGCTTTCCTTTAAAACTGCCCTACTCCATAGAAACGCATCAAAAATAAACTCAAAGCTATTCATTTGACTTCAATAGATCGGACCATATTATTGGTAGACTTTCATAGAAGTTAATTAACTTAAAGAGAGTCTTTAAATTTAACTTGCCAAGCGATTTGAGTGGGAAGAGAAGTTTTCATTTGGAAGACATGTTGGATAGATTTAACAAGTGAGTCACAGATTGACAGCTGCTTGTGTTTCTGAGCATCATTTATGTGCTTCCAGTGTACTGGGCATTCATCAGAGTACAAAAGACATACAGAGGTAAGGTCTCTGCTTTTTTCTTTTTCAGTCATAAGTTTTTGTTCTAAATCTTATCTTGGTGCTTAAATATAAAAATATTCTATTTCAGTCACATCTAACAATAAAAGTTGGGGTCTTTTGTATTAGAGAACAATTTATGAGATTATTAAAATGATAAATTTTAGAATTTTCTTCTTTAGCTAATAAAGTACGTAAAAACTAAAACAAGATAAAATGTAAAATTTCAAGATGTGTATATCTTTAATTGATTATATAGTTAATGAGAAAGGATGAACATCTTTTAGAAGACTATCAGGCTGGGCGTGGTGGCTCACGCCTATAATCACAGCACTTTGGGAGGCGGAAGCTAGAGGAATGCCTGAGTCCAGGGGTTAGAGACCAACCTGGGCAACTTGGTGAGACCTCATCTCTACAATAAATCAAAACATTAGTCAGGCGTGGTGGCATGCCCTTGTAGTTCCAGCTACTTGGGAGGCTGAGATAGAAGGATCACCTGAGCCTAACAGATCTAGGCTGCGGTGGCTGTGAGCATGCCATTGCACTCCCGCCTGGGCGACAGAGTGAGACTCTGACACAAAAAAAAGAAAAAAGAAAGGAAAAAAGACTATCCTTAGCCTAAGAATTTCTCTGAACAGGAAACAAGATGGAATAAAAGTGTTATTCATCCAAGGACTAGTTTATACTTGCTGAACTGGAGTAACATCACGCCTTTTTTTCTAACCAATGGTGTGAGAAAGTAATGATGGAGAAAATAACGATGTGTCACAGAAGATGTGATATGCTGAGAAACGGGCCCACGCTGTGGCTTATTTCTTCCCTGTGTCATACACTCATTTGTTCATCAGCAAACTTGTACTGAGTGCCTATTGCACCAGGCATTATTCTCAACTGCAAGGATAAAAAGACAATTCCGGCTCTCCTGATCTAACAGGGGAAACCGAAGCATAACCAGCCATCTCCGCCACCGTGCAGAGTGTTGTAATAAGGATATCAACACATTGCTATGGAAACACCGAGGTGGGAATAATTAGCTCTGGTGGTAGGAGTTGGGCAGAGCTCCCCAGAGTAGGTGGCATTTGAGCTGGACGCTGAAGGATGCGTAGGTATTCATCGGGCTAGGAAACAGCAGGAAAAGGCAGAGAGTACATGGCATGGTTGACATCTCTGAATAGAACTCTGTGGCCAGAGAGGGTGTATTGTATGAGGAAGATAATGTAAATGTGATGCGAAGACCATTAAATGAAAAACAGGCCCTATTCAAGAAAAACTTACACCTTGATATATTTTTATGAAGGGTACCATTTTTAAAAGTTGAGTGAATGTTTTTCTAGCTACAATATTTAGTATCAAAGAAAAATATTGAAGTCTTAACTATGCTAGACTCGTAGAGAGTGATAACTCCGAAGTAACAGTTGACATTATAACTTGTATATTCCGTCTAAATTAGTTCTGTACTAGCATGCCACCAATTAGGGATTTTCTAGCTCTGTTGTGTAGTAAACCTATTTCCTACCACACTTTTCCCCAGTAATCTCCAATCAGGTAAAACAGATCACGTGTAATCTGCCCTCAGATTTTTAGAACAGATTCTTATCTTCCGAAGGGGTGTCCTTTCAGGAGCTTAAAGTTTAAACTTGCTGCTTAGCAAACACATCGTTCAGGAATGTCTGAATTTAAAAGAATATAAAAGGCTAAACCAAGAAGACCAGTATACTTTGTGGGAGCCAAATGATAACACCTCGATGGAAGCAATGCTCATGGCTTCCCAATTAGTCTTCCTGCATCTGCCCTGGTCCTTCCAAAGGCTGCTCCCGGCTGTAGCCAGAGAAACATTTTTAAACCTCAGTCATTGTGGAATGCCCTTAGGGTAGGAAACACTCCAAGTCCCTTAGAGTCCGGCCGTTGCCGCCTCCTCTGGCTTTGCCTTGCTTACTGCCACCCTTGCTCTCTACCTTGTGACTGTACTGCCCTTCTGCCTTTTCCGCAGAGCCTCTGGTACATTCTTGTTTGATTAACTCACTCTTATCCCCAGCACCTGGCTCAGGCCTCACTTTCTCAGGTCCCAGCTAACTGAATTCACGTCCCTCTGTGTAGATTCATTGCACCATGCACTTCTCTTCCGTGACATTTATTCAACAAATATGTGTGAGAATAGATGATTTGTCTCTCTCCTACTAGACTGTAAATGTTTCTCAAGCAGAGACCTTGCCTTTTTTTGCTCACTTGTGTTCTCTCAGTAGTCATATATCTAGTGTAGTGCCTAATAGATAATGTTTAGTAAAGACTGTCGAGTGTAAGAATGATTGAATGTATGTGGCATAAATTCTGCACCATCCTAGGGCTACGCAGAGCACTATAAATACTCTGCTTTGTTCAGAGGTTCCCTTAGATACCTTTCATTTTTTGATCAGTTTTATCACTCTCTTTGTCACTAGAGTCATTTTAGCACGTTTTGGTGCATGACATTTTGTCAAGAACTCATTCAATGCTTAGCAAATATGTACATTGTCAAACATTGTGCTTGGCGCTCACGATGTGGTAGGGAATTAAGAGGCAAGCCTCAAGGTGCACATCAGCTCATGTAAAAGAAAGATTGTGGGCCAGCTGTTTAGATGAAGGGGGTAAGTGCTAGAAGAATATGAGGCTGTATGTGATGCTGAGAGGGCAGACAGAAGGAAGAGCCACTGACTTCCTGAGTCTGGGTGAAAAGACTCATACACAAAGTTTTTTGTTGTTTTTTTCCTAGTTTCTCATTCAGCAACAATCAGCACAGAAGACCTCTGCGACCAAATATGTGGTGGGGGTGGGGGTTCCTCGACAAGCAAGCAATTCCGCAACAGACACCAGCTGAGGGTCCTCTCATTCAATTCACAACTGACACTGTCTACCTGGAGGTGGCATCAGGTCCCAAAGGGTGAGGGCTCAGTCCCCAAGATGCCCCCCTCCCCACCTGAGATGCCAATCATAGGTCCAGGTTGCTTTATCTGTGCTTCTGACCATGTGGCTATAAATCAGGGTTCCTGAATCCTCTCCTTAGGTTGGGTTAATTTGCTAGCGTGGCTCACAGAACTCAGAAACAGGTTGCTGGTTTATTATAAAAGATACGACAAAAGATGTATAGGCTGAGGTACAGGAAGGGCACGGAGCTTCCATGCCTTCCTCAGCACGCCAGACACCCCAAGTGCCCAGCTCTCTGAAGCTCTCCAAACCCTGTCCTCTTGGTCTTTTATGGAAATTTCATTCGCAAGGCATGATTGACAGCCATGCAGAAATGTGATTGGACAAAGGGGTACGATCTAATACTACTAGTCTGAGGAAATCCTGTCAGGCTGGTCTGCTCAGATTCTTCTTGGCCTCTCTGTGCAGCATTCCTTCCTCCAGGGGTTGGGCCAGGACCCCTTCTTATGGCCTGCAATCAGATAAGGTAGGTCAGAGAATTTCTTTGTGACCAGCCCCAAGACAGAAAGGTAGGGGAAGGTTAGAGTATATTGTTAGTTCCTATGGCCTGCCTTGGAGAGAGCTAACAAGGGCTGTGGGGGTGATGAGCCAGTAACCATGGGCATATACTTACATGTCACTTAGTCAGAAAAGGCCTAACAGAAGAAATAATCCCTGAATGGCTTTTGGAGGATGGGAGTTTCTCCGTTTGAGGACAGGATGTGGAAGGGAAAGTGGTTTGGGGGCATGAGAAATAGTGTGTGCAAATGCACTGAGGTGAGCAACATCTGGTGTATTTGGGGAGGAGTAATTGGAAGGGAATGGAGAGGAGCCTGGAGGAAAGTGGGCCTGAGAGGTAACCCTTCTTCAGGTCCCGGGACGGACTTGGATTACCTTGCAGTTCCATAATAGGAAACCATAAAACTGTACTGAATATGAAAGGGCTCAGACTGGGAAGGGCATGATCACACTGGTGTTGAGGTAATTCCAGTGGCTACAAATGGAATAAATTTGAAGCATAGCAGAGACAAATGTAAATACGGTGGCCGCTGACAGTGGGTTCATGTTTGATTTCAGGAATAAAATGGAATCATCAGAAATAAGGCTCATGAGCAGTACTAGTTTTCCAGGATTGGCTTTAAAATCCCTTGAAATACAACTGCTTTCCTGGATATCTGTAAGAACAGCTGACTTCAGGGTGCCTGCCGTGTGGTGAACTTAATTTGAGTGAATCTTGGCAACTTAAGTAGAAGAATAGTTTTAAGAGTGTACTAAAGAACAGCTTCGGCATATAATTAGAAACTTAACCTCCAGGGAGCCATAGCAGGCTGACATGTAGTAATCAGATCTTGGGGCAAAGAGCTTCTCTGGAATGTGAAGTACATAAAGAAGCTGACGTGCAAAACGTTCTTGGTCTTGAAAATAGTGTTTACAGCCACAACCCAGAGGACAGGTTCTATTTGTATACATGGTGAACAGTCCGACAGTTTAGACTTCAAGCCACAGATACACTGGTCCTGTTCTCACCCTTAGGCTATGTGTATGCCTGTATGTGCTTACACAGGTCAAAGAGGGTCAATGGTGGGAGGGGGGAAGGGTGATCTGTATAGAATACAGGAGAAAAACATCATGATTTCTGGTTTACTAGGGTAGCCATATTCACCTCTTGGTAGGCCCACAAATTACAAAACTGAATATGTAAGATTGCACGTAAGAAATTAAACCTACTAATTCAAAAAGCTAGCAGGCAAAAATTTGTCCTAACTCAGAAAATTGGGAACAATCAGCAGTTATAAAAATGTTTTGTTTTTTTTCCCTCTAGACTATAAAAGACCTTAGAAAGTACTTTTGTCCTTCTAAATATAGTTGCTGATTCTGTTGGAACTATACATAGGCAGGACCACAATTGGAGTTTTTATATAAATTTTGTAGTTTTGGTGCATTTCAAATTACCAAACTGCATACATATTCTTGGTAACTTCCTCCACCTCTAAAAATGATTCTTTGACAGAATGTATTGTGTGAAAAAGTTAGGAATTTTCAATGTAAATAGATCTGTTTCTTAGCATAAAAGACCTTTTATTTGCTCACAGTGTTCGAATCTTTACGCATTTAAGAATTAAATAATGAATTTCATCTTATCCTTTAACTTTCTAGGATCTTAAAAGCTGTTGCCTTTAGGACTGAAAATTTTAAATCTTTAAGCAAGCAATTATTTCAGACGTGTTCGACAGTTATTATAAACCTTCCATTATAGTTAAAGCCACAGTTCTGACCCAGACTCATATGCTATGGTTAAGGCAATTCTTGAAGTAAGCTAGAATTTTGCAGTTAATCTGACTTCAGCCTGTCACATTTTATATGCACACTTTTGGGGGACATCTCAGACGACTGAGCTCTGAAAATACACAAGACACAAAAGCATATATTGAGACCTAAATTGGAGTAGATCTGTTTCTGTTTTTTAGATTACTTTCCCCAAGTCTGTAAGTTCCTTCCAACCGCCTTTCTTTCAGTCACCCTGTCTGCCTCTTCTTTCCCAGATAACCCCCCTTCCTGACTGCCCCTTTGAAGTATTAAACTATGGATAATCCCTAGGTGTCCAGTAGTAGGATGGGCAAGACTGACAACTACAAGGAGCACTGGTGCTCCCTGGGCCAGGTTCCCCTGACAAACCACTGTGAGAGGAGCCTGCAGTAGGAACATCCTAGTGCCCGAGGATTTCGTAGTGAGGTTGCCCTGAGTTTGAGTGGAGCAGTGACAGTCTCATACATCTAGGTTAGTCAGCAGCAGCAATAGTTGACTTTGCGTGTCTAGTCCAAGAAGTGTCAGATCATTTTCCTTGGAGAGTGAATGTCCAGATGTTATGCAGTCACTAACTCACTGGTTCTAAAAACTTTCCATATAAACAGGCATATTTAACCTGGGCGAAAACTAGTTGTTGGTTGCCAAGTAGACAGTGACTAGAATACTAACAGTGATTGCTTTTTTTTTTTTTTTTTTTTTGCTTAATGAGTGAAGACCAGAATATAGATTAGTACATGGGGTAGGACATGTCCATGGCGGATGTGTTTTATATTGTACTTGCAACTATTGGCCCCAGAGCTAAAGAGTTAGGAGTTAGATGTTTCTAAAAGAATCAAACCTAACTTTAGTTTATGTATGTCTGTATCCACATTTTTAATACTTAATTTTTACTAAACCCCTTTATGAATCGAGAACCTGTGCTCCCAGAGAGCTTGTGATTTAATTAAGTTAGATCAGACAAGTGCACAAGAAATAAAATAGTTACATTTGGGGAAAGAAGTATTGGCAGTTCAAGGTGGGATGGAGTTATGGAGGACTTTAGAACGTAATAGTTTAGGCTTGATGGAAGAGCCAGGTATTTGCATGTTCTGGACTAAACAGATGACATGAAGTGGGATTTTAAAAACAATCTGGGCCAGGCTCAATGGCTCAATCTGTAATCCCAGCATCTTGGGAGGCCGAGGCGAGTGGATTGCCTGAGCCTGCGGCTTCGAGATTAGCCTGGGCAACTTGGCGAGATCTTGTCTCTACAATAAATCAATAATTAGCCGGTTATGGTAGTGCATGCCTGTAGTTCCAGCTATTTGGAAGGCTGACACGGAAGGATCGCCGGAGCCCAGCGGATGGACACTGGGATGGCTGTGAGCGTGCCACTGTACCCCAACCTGGGCAACAGAGACTCCAACTTAAAAAAAAAACACCTAATCTGATCATAGCAGTTAGAGTTGAACAGTGTTAGGCAACTGCATTAAGATAAGTGTAAAGCTGTTAACTCTAGTGGTAAGTACAGTATACATGAGGAGAAGGGGGTTTTTTTGGGTTTTTTTTCCCCCTAGACTTAGTTCTAGGAAACACATCAGTTTTGGGGGGGAGCTTAGACATAGGAGACAAATGATTGAAGAGTGAGATTCTTGGAGATTCAGCATGGTTGATTGGAGTTAAGGGTGAAAAACCAAGGCTCTGGATGTTAGTTTTCATATCTACATTTTGAGGAGTCTAGAAGAAAATAGGAGAGGGGATGGACTGGAGGCAGCCAGTGACTTGGATGCCTTAAATAATGTACATTTAAAGTGGTAAGGGGCCAGGTGTGGTGGCTCATGCCTGTAACCCCAGCACTTTGGGAGGCCAAGGCAGGAGGATTGCTTGAGCTCAGGAGTTTGAGACCAGCCTGGGCAACATAGCGAGACCTCGTCTCGATAAAAAAATGAAAAAATAGAGTGGTAAGGGGTGTTGATGATGAAGAAACAGAGAGAAGTGGATGTGGGTATTACTTTTTAAGCCATTACTTAGCAATGGCTGGGATATTTTCTTGGTTTAGAGGCTGTAAGAGCCTGTATAAACTCTAGGAAATCTTATATGAAAATCCAGACTTAGAAAAAAGATACATTAAGGAGTAGTAGTGTTTAAAATGATTCTTCATTTTTAGCAGGATTAATCATAAAGTTCATTTTAAATAGCCAAACTTCCTAATTTAAAAGAATATGGCTGGGCACTGTGGCTCACACCTATAATCCCAGCACTGGGAGGTGGAGGCAAGAGGATTGCCTGAGCCCGTGAGCTCGAGACCAGCCTGGGCAACTTGGTGAGACTTCATCTCTACTGTAAATCAGAAAATTAGCCTGGCATGGTGATAGTCCTAGTACTTAGCAGGCTGAGGCAGAAGGACAGCCTGAGCCCAGAAGGTCGCGGCCACAGTAGCCATGAGCATGCCACTGCATGATCCAGCCTGTGTGACTGTGTGTGTGCGTGTGTGATTTACCAAAATTTGGTTAGTTCGCAGTCTTTTAATGCTGCATTTACTGGGAGCACCTGCATTCCATTATCTTTCTTCCAGAGCAAAGGATGCTAAAGGAACATTTTATTAAAAAATAATAATAAGTTAGCAATGAGAATCTTTTCAGTGGAGAAAAATTCATCTTTTAAAATCTATTTGTACATACTATCCTGTGATAATGAGACTTCATGAGTTTTGTTTTCTATACATTTGATTTTTTTTGACGATTCCTTTCTCCCCTTTCCTCACTTTATAGGTGTATTTAGCCCGGAAAGAAGGATCATCTTTTGCTTCTATTTCCTGGAAGTTTGAGTGTGGGTCAGTCGGCCTAAAAGTAGATAGCATTTCCATTAGAACAAGTAGCCAAACCTTTCAGACTGGAACAGTACAGTGGAAACTGCGATCTGATACAGCCTGCGTGGACCTGACCGGTGGTAAGCATTTGACTGGAGAGTTAATCATCAAGTATGTATTTACCATCCTGAAGACAAATTGTATTTATTTGAGATGTGGCTCTGACTTTTTCAGACCCAAGAGTTGTTTTCTAAAAATAAAAGTTTTAAATAAAAACCCGTGTGATCTGATTGTAACAGAAAAGCTGATTTTGTTGTGAAACAAAAGCAAGGAGAAAAATACTTTCTTTGCTTTAAAGGTACATTTCTTCCGTAAAGAAAACTTTATATGTCAGTCTATGTAAAATGCATTTCAGAAGTATCTCTTTGTGCTTTTAATTTACCAGAAGCAAAGTCTTAATTCTTTTTTCCCCTCCTAACAGATAAAAATCTTCGCTCGTATCATGATTTTTCTGGTGCCACAGAAGTTATTTTGGAAACAGAATTAAGCAGAGGGGATGGTGAGGTTGCTTGGCAACATACCCAGCTGTTCAGACAAAGCGTAAATGACCAGGAAGAAAACTGTTTGGAGATCATTATAAAATTCAATAACCTTTGAGAACATGAACATATAGAAAAGCCAGCAACAATCAAAGACTTCCCATGGTCTAATGTCGTCTGTTGGTTCGGTGCATGCTCCGTTGGCAACTTACCACCCTGTGCTAGCATATATCTTTTGCTAGCGATCCATCATGTCACCCTCACAAGAATATATCTTTATACTGTGGACCATAATGAAAGCTTGAATTAAACTCCCTTCCATATGTGACTGTAATTTGGAATAAAGTCTTGTTGCCCTGATAGGAGATTTTAACCTAAAACTGTAAGTATAGTTTTAAAAGTTAAATGATGGTGTTCATGATTAAATGCTATTCATAATTATGATAAAAATCTTGGGCTAATAATAGTAATTTGACATTTTCTGATCAGCCATTAATTTCTTCACAAGTGGGTAGATTAGATTTTCCTAAGATTTTTAATTTTTAATAAATGTGAAAGTATAGTATCTCATAAGTTATAATGCATGAAAATTTTTATGAGTGTAAATATGCAGGCATTTAAGAAATAAAGTGAATTATTTTGCTTTACATCTTTTTAGTAGTTACTTTGGCTAAATAAAAATCATTACTAAGTTTGCTAAACATTGAAAAACAATTGAGTAGACATCAGTTATGAAAACATTTAACATTAACAGCATAGATCAAAGATACATTATAAATTTCATAATATGTGGACACTTAAAAATGCTTTACCTTTGAGTTGTATTTTTATCTACCTCATTGAATAAAATATTCTTGACTTTAAAACTATGTAATTAATTGATGTAGTATTTATATACTACATCAAGACTTTTGTGTGTGTGTTCTGTATAACCACTCCAGTTAAATTTAGTGAACATTTCTTAAGCAATGCAAAGCATTGTGATAGCACTATGGAAGAAGAAGTCTTGAAAAAGAAACAGCCCCAGGCCTCCAAATTCCTTTGTGATATTCTGCAAAGTGAGTTCCAACTCTTCATGCAAGAAATAGACATGCCAAGAGGTTCTCACCCCACACAACTCAGTAGGACATTACATGCCTATAAAATATGTAATAAGACCCTGAAACAAAAATGTGATATTTGCTCTTTTTTTAATTTGTATTTTTTAGAGATGGGATCTTGCTATATTGCCCAGGCTGGACTCGGAACTTCTAGGCTCAAATGATCTTCCCACCTCAGCCTCCCAACTAGCTGGGATTACAGGCATGTGCTACTGTACCCAGCATATATTTGCTTTTTAATTGTAGTAAAACTCTTGAAAGTCACTTTTTTGTGGAAAAAGTTAAAACAAGCAGTTTATGCACCTGAAGTTATTAATGTCTTTAATATTAGAAAGTTTTCTGGAACTCTGAGACTCTGAGTTATCATAGCAGCCTATAGTGGCTACATACTTAAAATTGAAGAAACTTGACACCTGTCTTGTGGTGTCTGCTCTTGGTACGGTGAGTATTTTGATGAAACATGAACCAACCCTTTTCAAATCTAGAGATCTTCAAGCAGTTGTTTAAAGATTGCAATAGAAATATAGGAATTCAACTGAGTGTACTTAATCTTGGAAAAGAATTCATTCTAATTTTCACTGTGACTTTAAGCAGAAAAATGATTAGAGCTCGTATGTTCTGTGTTTTTATAGAGTTGACTGGCAAAGAGCAAAGGTAGTTGCACACTTTTAAAAAAAAGGTATTCCATGAGCATTTCAACCCCAAGGGTACCCAGTGTGTGTAAGTAGGTATTTTCTTATACAGAAAAGTTTGGAAATAATGCAGAAGGTATGGGACAGAACAACTCTCAATTGCATTAAATTAAGTGAAAGGAAACTGGTAAGGCAAAAGTAACCTAGGCAACGAAGGGCTGATGGTACAGACCCCTCAACCAACAAACCAGCACTAATATTAGGGTACACTTTATCTAGTAGCTATTTGAGATCTTTTGTGTGATCAATGTTCCACTACCACTGCTCATTGTTTAAAAAGAATCTACCTTGGTTTCAGATCACATCCCATCATAATGGATTCCACAGTCTGCTTTCTGTTGCAATGTTTTTTGTTTTAAAGAAAGTCCTGTGCTGGGACATTCTCTGAGTAAAAAAACAAATATACGAGGGGGACCCCAAGAAAACTAGAATTATCTTCTGGAGGGCAGGCCCCTTGTAGTACACTCAGAATTTGTCCCTCTGGATCAAATGGTCAAAGTTTTTATCTGGAAGTTTTGAAAAGGTTGCGCACTGTTTGCAGAAGAAATGTCCTGAGTTGTGACAAACAGGTGACTGGTTCTTCTAGCATGACAGCACACCTCCCACATCATACTGAGTGCTCAGCAGTTTTTCACCAAAAAATGCCATGACCCATCCTCCCAATTCACCCGATCTTGCACCAAGTGACCATTTTTGTTCTCCCGGATGAAAAAAGTCCTCAAAGGGAAATGTTTTGCTGATGTGGAAGAGTTGAAACAAAGAAAGAGCAGAAGTACTAAAAGGCATCAAAATTGACAAGCTCAAAAACTTTTGAGCAGTGGAAAAAGCATCTCGATAAGTGTATTGCATCGAACAGAGAGTACTTTGAAGGTGACTGAAGTTTAAACATAAAAAATACACAATTTTTAAATAAATTCCTGAGTTTTCTTGGGGGGTCCCCACTTGTATCTGATGCTTTGATCAATTTACAAGGAAAATACGTGCCTTTGATTAAGGGGGGGTTAGAGGACATTTTGTCATAGATACACTTTTGAGGTAGGAAGTGTTGGTAGAGACAATTTAACCCAGACTTCTCACTTTTCACTGAAGAGAACTCAAGACCAGAGAAGGTAAGTGACCTGTCCGAACAAGTCCATGAACCAGTGATGTAAGCAGGACTCATGAGTACATCACAGTCTTTCCTCCTACCAAGTTGCAAGGTTGTAGAATCATAGACCTGTCTCCAGTTTGCTGTTTTAGTAGGTGTTTCGTGAACATAGATACTTTATGAGAGATGTTTACATTGAGAAGGTATTATAATTGAAATGAGAACTGACTTTAGTTATACTTTTCTGAAGAGTTGTTTCCTCTGTATACGATCGATATATGTTACGTTTTAATTTTATAGTCTGAGGAAATACACTCGTAAGTTAATAGCTGGTCCAGATGACATACCTTTCTTAAATACCTTTGGAGGAAGAATAAGAATAAACCAATGATTGATGTTATTTCACTTAGTATGTATTCAGTTATATCCTCTATTTTGCCCAAAACAGTGCTTTATTTCTGATAAGAGATTTAGAATAGACCTAGACTAAGTGACTACCTTTTGAGTTTATAATTAGTGCCAATGATTTTCGGTGTCTCATTTGATCATAGTAGCATTGGAAAGTGGATCGTGTATCGTATCCCCTTTTATAGATGATGAAATTAAATTGAGAGGCTAGGTGGGAGCCAGTATTTTAATGCCAGTGTGTCAAACATCTCTTTCCTGTTTATTAAACCACCACAAGTGAAAATAGACTCAGAAGTCGAGACCTTGCTCTCTTGTCTTAATTTTTTCTTTTGTTTCCTTTCTTTCTTTTTTTTTTTTGAGTCAGAATCTCACTCTGTCACCCAGGCTGTAGTGCAGTGGCACACTCACAGTTACTGCAGCCTCAACCTGCTGGGCTCAGGCAATCCTTCTGTCTGGAACTACAAGTAGCTGGAACTACAGGCACACACCACCACGCCCGGCTAATTTTCTTATTTATTGTAGAGACACGCTCTTGCCAAATTGCTCGAGCTAGTCTCAAAGCCCTGGGCTCAGGCAATCCTCCCTCTCTGCCTCTCAAAGTGCTGTGATTACAGGCGTGAGCCACTGCGCTCAGCCTTCTCTTGTCTTAACTTTCTAAAGACTTTCTGTGAAACCAACCAGATTGTTCCATCAACTAGAAATCCATAAGTGAGCCAAAGAGGACTTCTGAAGAGTTCAAATAGGTATCATATAAGTGGCTAGACACCATTAAAGCTCATATTGTTTTCTATAAAAGGACATTTTGGATTGTCACTCAAAGCTTATGTACTTGTTTTTTAAAGCCATGTTGTTAAAAATTCAAACAAGAGACCAGGCTCAGTGGCTCAGTCTGTAATCTCAGCACTTTGGGAGCCCACGGGTTCGAGACTAGCCCAGGCAACTTGGAGAGACCTGTCTCTACAATAAAATAAAAAATTAGCCAGGTGTAGTAGCGTGTACCTATAGTTCCGGCTACTTGGAAGACTGAGGCGGAAGGATCACCGGAGCCCGGCAGTTCGATGCTGGCATGGCCGTGAGTATGCCACTACACTCCAGTCTTGGCAACGGAGTGAGACTCCAACTCAAAAAAAAAATTTTTTTCCAACAAGATATTACTGCAAAATAAACACACTGCCTCTATTCTCCATACTCCACACCATTTTTCAAATAAACTCTAGTATGTCTGCATGTGTTATTCCAGAGATTTCCTGCGGGTTTTTATGTTCATATATGTATACACACACACACACACACACACACACACACACACACACACACACACACACACACACTTACACAAAATAATAAAACCAGTTTTCATGTGTTTGGTTTTTCCTTTTAGGTAAATGCAAGTGTCTGCTTGTTTCTTAACAATGTGTCTTAGAAATTTGTCCATTGTCAGTCATGGATCTGCTACATTCTTTTTAACCTTCCACTGTAATCCATAATGTGCCCATTTCCTTGTTTACACATATTGAGGTCCCCACCCCGCTTTTGTTTTTGTTACTGCAGCTACTGCTGTAGTGAGCATCCTTATACATATTTCCTTCCCGTAGATTTGGATTCCTGCAAGGAGTCATTCTCGGGACTGCTTTGTAAGTATCACCACTGCATTTGGAGAAGCTAGCTCTGCAGAACTGGCGAGTCCCACTGCAGCACTCAGAGCTGAAAGGAATTCTCATTCATATCTCTTTTTCCCCAATTATCTCCTGCTCTAATTGGTCAATATTTTAGTTTACAAAAAATACAGAGGAGTACAACGAATAATATGACACAAACCCATGTACTCTCCACTCAAGAATAATTATATAAGCATTCTGTTTTATTTGCTTCACCTTCTAAAGAAAAGCAAAACAACATTTAGTAGATGAAGTCTCCTCAGAATGCCCTTCCAGTCCTGCTTCCTCTTCTACCTTCCCCAGAGGCACCTGCAATCAGGAATTTCATTTATTCTGTGATCATCTATGTATATTGGCTAATAATATCTAACGTTGACTTGTATAGTTTAAGTCTAGATAAATGGTATTAGGCATAGTACATAATGTTGTGCAATGTTTCAGCCATTTTCTATATCCATGTTGATACGTATAGGTCTTGTTAACTGTTACATAAAATCCATCACCAGTATCCCAATTTATCATACGTCTTCCTTGCCAACCTGATGTATGTTTGAGTTATTCTCAAGGTTAATGACAAGCAGTTATTAGTATCACAACTAATGCTGTAGGTATCTCCTTGTGGATAAGTACAGAGTCTCTCTAGGATTTATTCCTAGAAATAGAACTGATGGGTAATAGGGTTTGGACATTTTCAAAGATACTGCCAATTGTTCGCCAAGATGTTTGGTGCCAATTTACACGACTATTGGCAGTGTACTCAAATTCCTGCTTCCTTACATCCTGACCTACATGCAGTATTGTTAAACTTTGCAATCCTCACCAGTGTTATCCATGTGAAATAGTATTTTGTTGTTTTACTTTGTATTTTTCTGATTACTGGTGATTTTGAGGATCCTTTCACATGTATTGCTTCCCTGTTCT